GGTGGCTCCACCTTCCAGGCTGAGTCTGGGAAGGGGGGCCACCCCGCCCCGGCCCACCCTCTGTATCCACTTGGTGGATGTTTGTGTAAAAAGTAAGAGGTGACCTCATTAAGACACCCGCGGCCCCGGGTTTAGTTCTAAACGCTGAACCTGCTCTTTTATGTTGTTTTGATGTTAAAAAGTTGTCATCCGGAGTATAGGGGAAACCTAACGTATATATTTGTTTTTCCTGGGAGGGGCTTTACTTCGTATTCTCATTCTGATTTTTCCTCTTGAAGGATGGGGAGGGATGGTTTCGGGGTACCCGGAGTTGGCAGCTATCAGAGGGGAAATGTTTCTTGGAGTTTGCCTTGTATGTCCAGCCTGTCAGGTGTTTTTCTTGTGACCACAGCACCAGTCAAGTCCCTCTTGTGGAAGGAACTAGAAAGTTCCCAGGGGAAGCCTCATAGAGGCTAAAGATATGTAAACGGGAGTAATGAAGGTCCTATTTTAGAAGTATCCTTGTGGACTGGGAAGTTACTTTCGTCGTGCTTAAATAGGAAGGATGTCATTGGTCCTTTGTCCCATACCGGATGTTGGGTACTTGTATTTACTTATGTCACTTTCATTTTACGTTGGTGAAGAACATACTTTTTATTTGATTTAGAAATATGAGTTCTATAGCTACATTTATTTAGTAAAGGTTAGAAAGAGGGCGTTTTTAAAGACATTATCTTTGCATACCTCAATTTTAGGGTAGATTGATAGAGAAACTAGTCGTAGTTGTTTTAAAAGGCAGGTATAACCCTGTCTTGAAAAACAAAGACAAGTATAGTGGCTGGAGGTGTAGCCTAGTAGCAGAGTGCTCGCTCTGGGTTTGATCCCCAACACTTCAAACAAACAAAATAGACAAATATAAAAATGGATGCAGAGGTGCTTATAGGTGTGAGTTACTTTAAAAAAATGTTAGTAAGTGTGGGTACGGTGGTGTATGTAATCCTAGCACTCCAAAGGTAGGGGCACAGGAAAAGTTTGAGACCACCTGGTTCTACAAAGTGAGTTCCAGGCCAGTCAGAACATCATAAAGAAACTTGATCTCAAAATAGAAAAAAGTACAAAGATGAGAGTGAAATGTACGTGGTGAAATGCATAGACCTTGAGTGTGCCTGCACATTTGAAAACTTTCCATTAATGTCTGTGCCTGGGTGACTTACGTCAATGCTTTTTGTCACCCCGAGAAAGAAAGCTATCCTTCCCAGTTGCTCTCTTCCCTGTGAAACTGTTGCTAGCCCCACAGTTGAATTTTTACCTGTTTCTGAACTTTTCATGAATGAAGTCACATAGTATATATGTGTGGCTTCTTTTGCCTGAATAGTATTTTGAGAGTCATCCCTGTTGTCAGTCTGTAGTGACAGCTTCTTGCCGCCTAGCTGAATCACACTGTCGGGTATGCGGTACCATAACTTCATCCCTTTTCTAGTTTGGTACAATTGTGAGTAAAACTGCTGTAAACTTTGTTGTAGTCTCCTAGTTGACATTTTGTAGATACGAAGGAATAGAATTAACAGCTTTACAGGCTGTGTGTTAATGCTGTAAGAAACCGCCAGACTTGTTCCAAAGTGGTTTTATAATCTCTCAGCCTTGTGTGGATTTCACTTGCTGGGAGCCTTTGCTGACATTGGGTATTGTCAGTCCTTTTCCTCATTCTGATATAGGCAAAATTGCACCTCACTGTGGTTATAATTTGTATTTTCGTGGTAACTAATGTTAAGCATCTTCTCATATATTTTCAAGATATCTTTTTGCAAGATGCCTTTTCAAGTTTTTGTATAGCTAAAATTCAGTTTTAGCCCAATTTGGGAGGATAATTTGAGACCAGGTCTTGGCCGGCCTAGGACTATGTATACCAGGCTGCTCTCCAGTTGAGGGCAGTCTCCCTGTGTCTGCCTCCTAAATGCTGGGAGTACAGGTGTATGCCTCCATGCCAGACCTAGCCCCGATTTTCTTATTGGATTGTCTATTATTATTAAGCTCCAAGAGTTTATTTTCTGTCCTGTATGTAAATATTTTCTTAGCTCTTATGAATATTTTTCAGCAAGCTTTGATTTTCATATTTTCTTTCTCCTTTTCCTCTTTCTTGGTGTTATCAGAGGTCAAACCCAGGGTTTCACAATAGTAGGCAAGAAATACCATTAAGCCACATCCCAGCTGTGACTTTTTATTTTCCTTAAGGGAGTGTTTTGATGAGGTGATGTTTTCACTTTTATGAGGTACTACTTATCATATGTTTCTTTTATGTTTATTGCTATTAAGGAACTTTTGTGGGTTGTGGGCACAACCCAGCATAGGGCCATTGCCTAGCATGAGCAAGATGCCTGTATGCCGTCCATATGTAAAAAAGAAGAATTTCCTTCAAGGCTCCCCTGCCTGCCTCTGGGCTTTGTTTTCTTCTAGAATGGTCATTGTTTTAACTTTTGCATTTGGGTTTGTGAAGAAATACATGTTTAATGTAGCAATATAGAGATCATATGTAGTGGATTTAAATCAATGTTAATATTACAGAATAATGACTATCTGAAAAAGAAACAGTCATTCTTTCATATTAAAGGAATTTCTTGCTGTGAGACTAACAGCAATGTTTCAATCCTCTCTTTCAGGGCTTTAATTTTGAAAAGTGAATAAAACTGGCTTTGGGAGACAAGATGACAACAGCTGCAGAGAGGAAGTATATTAACATTAGGAAAAGGTTAGACCAGCTGGGCTACCGCCAGACTCTAACAGTGGAGAGTCTGCCTTTGGTAGAAAAACTTTTCAGGTAAAGATAAAAATACAGTTATTATAAATGTCTGTAATCCTTAATTTATATCCTGAGTTTGTGGTGACCTTCCTGCTTAAGGAAAGCAGCAAGTGGACTTTGGGGAAGTCACTGAGGCTTGTCTGTTCTCTCTTCAGTTCAAAGCCTTGTCCCCAACACACTGCATTCATGGTGCAGGACACTGGGGATTGCCATACCAACTGTGCTGTTCCGAGTCACCATTTGTGAGAGTTTCCCGAATGGAATTACACTCTGAGGTTTCTGATAGATGTCGGAGGTGCTTTTCCCTTTTCTGTCTTGTCATTTGTTTTTATCCTTTTGGACTGGTGAGGATGAAACATAGCCTTGAATGTGCTAGGCAAGTGTTCTACCATTGAGCTATACGCAACTTTCCCCATAAGTTCTGTGTCTGCCAAGCTGATCTTTAATTTCTGTTGTTCTAGCAAGGCTCTCAAATTTGTTGTTATTACTGTCACATGTTACCTTAACTGAGAGGCTGCGTAGCTCCCTCCTTCTCCAGAAGAGCTATAAGTGGGAGGTTTGAGATTGAAGTGGGTATTTAAGGTTGATTAGTAAGACTATGAGTAACGCTGGTAAAAAGCAGAGAATGGATGAAGATAACTTATGACCTTGGATATGAGCCCCCAGACCTCTCATGGTGTGGTCCCTTCGTTTCCTGACACTGTCTTCCACTCTCACCTTTGCTGTCTTCATACACTACTCCCTCTGCCTGTGGAGTGCCCTCCCTGTCTGTTCTTGGCCCTTGTACTTCACCATCTTGCTGTCTCACTGCCCATCATCATTGCCATCTTGGTTTGTCCTCCTTTCATTGCAAACTTCATAAGACTGATATGAACACTTATAGTTACTGTAGATTGCTCATACAGTAAGCATGGAAATGTTTAGTTTATCATGTACTATGTGCTTTTGATGATTGACTGTAGAACTTAAGTTCTTCATTAGTAAGTGCATTGTGTGTGTCTGTGTGTATGTGTTTTCTCCTCACTAAACATTTAGTGAATGAGTAGTCTTAGAGGTTAAGAGCATGATTCTGGTTTGCTGTCTTCCTGGAGCTAGTTAGTGTACAACAGATAATCAGTACATGTTTACTCAATAAAAAGCCAGTTTTTCAGGGTCCACAGACCTAGAGAATGAGCAAGAGGGGAGATTGAACTGTGATTTGGTATGGTAACTCATTTTGTTGGGAGCCTGAATTGGATCTTGCTAAACAATGGGGTTTTTTAACTAAAGGTAAAATTACCAATAAAAGTACTTTTAAAACTGGGAGAAAAAAAAAAACCAAGCAGACAATAATATAGTGTGTTTGTATCTTATAACTTAGCTTGTTTTGAGAAATTTCCGAGGACCTTTTGATACCTTGAAAAAACCTAACTGTTCATTTCTTCCTGTAGATTTGATATTATTTAACATTAACATTACAATTAAGATTTTTAGAAATGTATTTTATGTTAGTAGGAGACTAATAGAATGTTTTCTTGTGTTTGCATTTTCTGTCCTTTAACTCCAGTGATTTGGTTCATACAACAGAAAGCCTGCGGCAGAGCAGGTTGTCCTCGGCAAAGGCGGAGAAGGATAGTGCCAATTGCGATTTTGTTTTGGAACCTTATAAACTTGAGAATGTAAGGCTGAGTAGGGAGAATAATGAATTGTATCTGGAGTTGATGAAGCTAAGAGAACACTCAGACCAGCACATTAAAGGTACTTGAGGCTTTGATGATGTTTTAAATGCAGGATCCTTGTTCTCTTTGTTTTATAAGTGGGAAAGGCTAAAGTCTTGTTTTAAATACAGGAAGATGTGTTGAAGAATGCTTGAGAGTGGAAATAAGTGTGCACTCCATAGCACTATATGTAAATGGTGTTTTTGGTTTAAAATTGGCATAAAGAATATTAAATGGCAGGATGGAAGGCATTTTCATGAAACATCTATTGTTCCTATTACTGAAAAGAAAAGTAAGGAGTAGGTGAAAGCTGTTGGCACTTACTAGGCAGTGTTGAGCCAGGAAGTAGATTTCAAAGATAAAGGCTAATTATTTGGTATCTTCTCTAAATTTTATATTCAATAATTCCTTAACTTAAAGCTTGCTGGATCAAAGCCATGGTACACATTAGTCATACACAGTAATAACAAAAACATAAAGTTGCCTTTTTGGATTAGTGGGTGTGTGCAGATTCGTTAGAGGTAAGAAGTGCATTCGTTTTCATCCACCTGTGAGGCCTAGGTGGCGCCTCTCAGCTTGGTTTGGATGTCTTGATCTTTAGAGTTGTATTTTCATCTTTTTCACTTTAAGAGTTGAAAACTACACTGAAAAAGTGTTCACATGAGACAGCTGATCTGAAATTTCTGAATAACCAGTATGTTCATAAACTCCAACTCCTGGAGAGAGAGAGCAAAGCTAAAAATGAAAAAATCCAACAACTTCAAGAAAAGAATTTGCAAGCTATAGTACAAACTCCTGGTGAGTCTTCTCCTTCTCAAACCCAGTTGGCTAGCATGCTCATGAAGACGGACTTCTTTGTCCTGAGAATCTATTCATTTACAAATTGCAGCTCTAATCTTGCCAGCTGCTGAAATAGTGAACATAGTATTTTATAGAATTCCAAGATCAACCTGTCCATTTAAAAACATGCTACCTACAAAGATAATTACGGGGTGTTCAGTACTAATTCAGATTATAGTGTGACTGTATTACAGGTGACAATCTATTATATTTTAGTTGTCCTCTTTGGAGTTTTCAGTTATGTGCTCTTTGTATGTTTTTGCAGTAATGTGTGCATATGCATATGTAGGCCAGAAGTCAACTTCTGGTTTCTTTCTCTATTGCTTTCCACCAGATTGTTTTGAGACAAGGTTTCTCACTGAACCTTGGGCTTGCCTATTAGGCTAGACAGGCTGGCCAGCAAGCCCCAAAGATCTTCCTGTCTCCACCTCCCCAGTGCTGGCATTATCGGCATGGCACCACAACTGGCTTTTTTTTTTTTTTTTCCCATGCTTTCTGGGGGTTGAACTCAGGTTCTCATGCTTGAATGGCAGACACTTTACCAGTTGGGCAATCGCTAGCCTCCAATTACCTGTTCTTTTGACAGTGTCTAATAAGCATGTGTATTTTAGTTCTTGCTGCCAGTGCTCCTCACCTGACAGTTGTATGATAGTGATATTGTAGCTCATGACACTGACCACCACAAGGCATGCTCAGATTTTAATCCTGCTGGAATCTGATGTAGCCGAGGGATAGTTTAAACCTGTGTGCATATGCCAAGCCTGCAGCTATAGAAAACTTGTCTTACAGACTTCTTTTGGGGTGAATATTGCAGAGGAGCCCTCTTTATAAGAGAAGGTTGACATGTGCTGTTCAGTACTTAGAAAAGTGTTCTGGTTCTCCTTGGTTTTAAGACATATAACATCTGTTTCTGCTTTTATAGGTGGCAAGAAAAGAAGCATTGCATTTAGGCGCCAGCGGATGCAAATCGATGAACCAGCCCCACCCTCTGAAGTCAGTTCATACCCAGTCCCGCAGCCAGAGGACCCATACATTGCAGACCTCCTGCAAGTGGCTGATAACAGGTGTGTTACATACTTGCTTTGCTGAGCTGGGAGTGGTGGAGGTATGCATAGTGTCCTCAAGGACTTTAGTTCAATCATCATCATCATCTTCATCTTTGTATCAAATCTTTTTCTATCTTGCCAGCCAGCTTCCAAATAATGATGAAGAAACTTCTTAATAATTCTGAAAACTCACCTATAGCTTAGGCTTGCTCCTAACTAGCTCTTATAACTTAAATTAACCCCTATTTATTTATTTATTTATTTATTTATTTTATTTTTCGAGACAGGGTTTCTCTATTGCTTTGGAGGCTGTCCTGAGAGATTTATAGGGCTTTAAGGGCAAGAGAGCAAGCTCTAGTGACACTCTAGTTAGATTCTGGGGGAGGCCTCCAAACTGTGGGGTGCATGGTGAGACAGTGTAGTTAAGGACTTTGTGGTTCATGTAGAGAATACAGAGGTGCTTCAGCCTCTCATAATATATAAAGAGCTTGGGTTGGGATCTTCTGAAGACCACATCAGTCCTTTATTCTCTCCTAATATTATGTGCCTGTGTTTATATGGCTACCTTGACCTTTTGTGTTTGCTCATCTGTTAAAGTTATGGCTAGGCTGCCAGGTAGTATTATTTAAAGAATTGTTTACACTGTAGAAGTGCCATCAATACCTATTGTCAGTCTGCTTTGGTGTGCACGTACACATTGTTTGCATACTGTCTCCTGCATTGATCTTAGAGTGTTTGCATGCATTATAATCTTATCTCTAGCCTAGATTAGTAGAGACTTTGGCTTCACTAAGTGTTCAGATGAGCTCTCTGCAACCTACTTATTGTAGCTCACAGAACATTTCTCCTCAAAGAAGACCTGCTTCAGGCTTTCCCTGTCAGACGTGGGTTATGGAAGTCATGTGGAATTCAGATGGCTTGGACAGAGTCTTGATTCCATTAGAGCTTTTAGGAAAAGCAGGCTTTGCTGGGGTCACTTGGAAAATTGCCGTTTTCTCAGTTTTCTTCTCTCCAGAAGTGTAAAATAGCTCAGTAGGCAGCATGGGTTGGTTAGGGTCAGAAAACACGCACTTGTCCCTTGTTTCACTTAGTGATGTTGTGGATTTTGAACTATACCTTGAGTTTCCTGAGCCTAAAAATTGGTACCTGTACCTCAGAGTTGCTCTAAATACCCAATGGAACAGTGAGGTGATTTATTGCATGATGTATCTGGGTTTAAAATCACTTGCTTCTCAAGTGATTTTGATTTCTGCTTCTATAAAATTAGCTCTCCAAGGTGATACTGTATTTAAGCTGAGGCTCTGGGACCCTTCAGCATAGCGCTGTGTCCTCCCCCAGAAGCTGGAAGCAGGATTTTATGCAACAACAGTCACTTTCTTGCTCTGTTGTATTGTTTTGTCTCTCTTAACCAAAGTCTGTTACATATGCTAACATTGGATATACTTGTTTCAGGATTCAGGAACTTCAGGAGGAAGTCCTCCAGCTGCAAGAGAAGTTAAAAGTGATGGAAAATGGAGTGAGAGGTTACAGCAAGCAGGTAGGACTTGTTTATTCGTGTGTCTGGGTTGAGTTGTGTATGATTCGATCATGACTATAATTGTCTTATATTTGATATTTCAGATCCCTAGTTTTAAATGCAGCCTTTTTTCCCCCCAAAATGCTTGTTAGTCTAGTCAATAGGCAGAGTAGCTCTAGATAGTAGTATCTGGTCCATTCCCTCCCTTCATTAGTCACTAAGGTGAGTAGTCATTTTAGTTTTGGTTTTTCTTTTATTTGAAGTATCTATTTCCCCAAATTTAAAAAAAGAAAAAAACTTGGCCAAATAAAAATTACATTACTATGTTCATCTCAAAAATAATTTTATTTAAGAATGACAACATCCTTTTATAATTATATTTATGTTTTATCAATATTTGTTAAGAGAGCTGAGTAGATGGCTCAGTGGGTAGAGGTGCTTGTCATCAGGCCTGACTACCTGAGTTTGATCTCCAGGACCCACACAATGGAGGGAGAGAACCGACTCCCAAAAGTTGTCCTCTGACCTCCATTTATGAGGCATGTACACACACACACACACACACACACACACACACACACACACACAAAATATATATAAATAAGTTTTTTTTTTGAAAAAACACAAAAGAAAGTAATTGTATTATTTTTTGAGACATAGTTTCTCTGTGTAGCTTTGTAGACCAGACTGGCCTCAAACTCCCAGAGATCCACCTGCCTCTGCCTCCCTAGTGTTGGGATTAAAGATGTGCACCACCACCGCCTGGCTCGTATTACTATTTTTGTTCATTTCTTTTTTACTGACTGTAAATCTTTGACAGTTGCTCTTCTGGGTTGCTATGTCTCAGTGTGATTCCTCTGGAAGCATTATTGCAGCATGACTGTTTCCTAAGGAGCAAGGGCTGGGCAGATGCAGTTAAATCATAACCACATCGAGCTTCATGCTCATGCTCTCTGTGTTGGTCTCTTGGCTAAACACATGCTTTATTTCCTACTGTGCTCACTGAAGTTTAAACTGGGTAACATTTTTTCATATACATGGTTGTATTTTGTTTACATGATTTTGTTTACATATAGCTCTATATGTGCCAACGTGTTGGTATAACTCTTAGTTTGTAAAGTACTTTGAAAATTATTTGGATTAGAAACAAGTTAAAGGATGCTCTAACATTGTCAAACCAAATCACACAAACAAGCAAAAACTCCTTTATGAAGGCACTTAGGAGCGTTGATTCTCAGTATGTGGGTCATGACCCCTTTGGGGTCAAATGATACTCTAATAAGGGTCATATACCAGATATTTACATTATGATTCATAAAAGTAGCAAAATTACAGTTATGAAGTAGCAATGAAAATAATTTTATGGTTGGGGTCACCACAGCATGAGGGATTGTAAGGGTAACAGCACTAGGAAGGTTGAGAACCACTACACTAAAATTATCACATTTTTTACACTGGAGTGTGGCTCAGGGGTAAAGAACTTGCCTAGTATTAGGCCCTGGATTCAGTTCTTTGCATAGCAGAAAAGGGGTGGGGGGAAGCACACATTGAATGCCATTGTTACTTTTCAGTTTGTAACCACATTTTCTGGATTACTTTATGAACAGAAACTGCCTAAACCTTGCCATTTCTCTGAAGTGGCTAAAGGGTTTGGAGGACATTCCTTGGCCTTTCTGGTAAAGTACTAGTTGGCTGCCCATTCATCTTAGTTGAGTCCTCTCTGCTATTGAGTCTTCTTTTGTTTGCATTTGCTTTTCTCAGAACGTATTCCAGGTTGTGAGGGCCAGTGGTCAGCTCAGGGATGGGCACTTACCCAGCATGCTCGAAGCCTTGAACTGAAAGCAGTAACAGCATCCCATACTTTATTATTCCCAACCTCTCCTGACGATCTATCCCCACTTTCTCAGGGTTTCTCCTTGTTTCAGTGGCCTGTTTTTATCTTTAAGTAGTAATACTTGTTCTCAGGGTCTCCTAAGACTTAATGGACAGGGGGTTGTGTAACAGTACTTTCTCATTGGGACTGCCAGCTCACAAATAATGGTACACAGACTTATTAATTATGAATGCTCAGCCTTATTTAGGCTTGTTCCTGACTAGGTCTTATAACTTGAATTAACCCATATTTTTAAATCTGTGTTCTGATATGTGGCTCATTACCTCATCTCTGTACTGCCCATTCTTCTTTCTCCTCATCTTGCTGGCGACTCCGCCTTTCTTCTTCCCAGAGTTCTCTCTGTGCCGGGAAGTCCCACCTATACCTCCTGCTTAGGTATTGGCTATTCAGCTTTTTATTAACACCAATCACAGCAATATATCTTTACAAAGTCTGCAAATATCCCACAACAGGGTTGTTTTGGTTCAGTGCTCAATTCTTCACATTTCTCTCCAGCAATGAACTTCTTTGCATATTATGCTGAACCATTTCTGCTGCCTCTGATATTTCCCATGATTTTGTGCATTGGTGTCACTGCTCAGAGCACCCGTTCTTTTGATACAGCATTGCTATAACTTGATGGACATCCTGTATTTAGCAAAGTCTTAGTGATTTCATAGGCACAGATGTAGAATGTAGAGTGGGCCACTTCATCCCTTTAAGTACTGGTGCCATCATAAACCATTTCCTTCACTCTTCTATTGAAGAAAAACTGTTATCCAGCAACTATTGGGGTGCTAGCTAGTACTCTTTGTTATGTTCTCTGTTCCTGGAAGTCAGAGTCCATTGTTTTATTCCTCCTGACATAGCTCAGTGTGTGTTCAGTAATGACTAAATTGAATCTTTGTTGTTGTTTTTCTGTTTTTTAGGGAAAACAAAAAGTGTGTGTGTGTATGCATTTTTCCAATTCTTGCATGTGAATTGGTGTCAGTTTTTGGTTAACAGTCTTCTTTTGATCATATGTAAATTCACTCTATTTTATCCTTTTTAATACTGAATTTGATAACAACTCAATTGTTCATGTTTTCCACTCATTCCTTCCTTTATTCAGTCTGGCAAGAACTGAAGTATGTCAGCATTATTCCAGTACTTTAACATGTGTATAATCTGCCAAGACATTTCTCTTCATATAAACAGTTGCCTAATTTTAGAGGAGTTAAAAAAAAAAAAAAAACCTAAAGTATTCAATCAGAATCAATTCCATAAAAGCACTGATAAGAACTATGTTGATACTGTTAACTCTGGTATGTTCTGTGTTTTCACACATGTGTGGATTCCAGAATAAACTATAGCTGCTTGTGTGCATTGTTGGGACATCAGGATAGAGCATGTCTCAACAAAAGTGTGGGGTTATGGATTTGCTTCACAACCAGTTTTATCAACTGAAAGCACAACTTTATGTCCTCAGATTGAACTAAGAGAACGAGAAATAGAACGGCTGTCACATGCTTTGGATGGTGGTCGTTCCCCTGATGTGCTGTCTCTGGAGACTAGAAATAAAACCAATGAAAAGCTTATTGCTCAGCTAAATATTCAGGTAATGGCTCTTAGTGTTGTTTCACTAAGTATATAAATATCTGAGGATTTATGATTATCTGTGGGTTTATAAAAGTGATGGGTTTGCAAGGTGGTGATGGTGCACACCTTTAATCCCAGCATTCAGGAGGCAGAGGCAGGCGGATCTCTGTGAGTTCAAGACTAGCCTGGTCTACAAGAGCGAGTGCCAGGACAGCCTCCAAGCCACAGAGAAACCCTGTCTCGAAAAACCAAAAAAAAAAAAAAAAAAAAAAAAGGTGATGGGCTTGCTCACTGAAGTATTATTTAAATGGGAGTTGTTATTTGTTTTTTTTTAATTCGTTTTGAGACAGGGTCTCAGGATATAGCCTTGGCTGGCCTAAAACCCTCACTGTAGACCAGGCTGGCCTTGAACTTACAGAGATCCATCTGCCTCTGCCTTTCCAATTCTGGGATTAAAGGCATGCACCACCATGCTCTGGTAAGTTTCTGGTAGAGCAGAGTATGTAAAAATAAGGGGAAGCTTTCAGAAGTCAGAATGCTCAATGAAGCAGCAGGTAAGATAGGTCTAGTGTTGCAAACTTAAAAGAAGACTATAAACCCTGGGCAGTACCTTCAGGTTGCTCTTACAAAATCCATGAATAGGTGAGGCATTGTGACATACTACTGTAATCTTTCACAGGAGGGGAATAGACAGGAAGATCAGTTTCTGGCCAGCCGCAGCCCCATAGTAAATTCTAGACTTCCATGCCTTACATGAGACCCTATCTCCAAAGAACAAAATATATAAATAGAGAAAGAAAACTCAGAAGGGATATTTTTAAATATACTGACAAAGTTTATCTTTGTGTGTTGGGGAGTGCTTGATGGATCTGTATTTTTAAAACTTGATGACTATTTTATACTGTAAAAAATGATTTTAAGGTATGCATATGCTTATATATAGTACATGTTATAGGTTATATGTACTGTCTATAATATGTGTTATATGATTCACAATATTATCTACTTTGTACCTTACATATATATTGTATAGCATATATTAGCATGCAATATATTATTGATATATTAATATGGTGAGAGTGAAACTTGGTAGTAAAAGGCTTGTGTAACATGCAAGTTCCAAGTCCAATCCTCACCTCTGCCGAGATAGTAACATAAATAAAACACGCAGCTTGTGCCTGCTTGTACCATACTTTGACCTGCGGATGAAGAAGCAGAAGAGCTCTGTAAGGTGTGACACATGGACATAGAAGTTTAGCTGTGTACACAGCAGGTAGAGTTTGTTCAGAGACAGTAGAGGCAGCACTCAAATACACTGTCCAATGGAGATGTGAATCCAGACAGATAGAAAGCATTATAATTGTAAACAATGTATTTATCCCAATATATCCAAAACTTCATTTCATCAAGTCATAGTTTTACTTTCCTAAAACAACAAAAACCCAGAACTTTGAAGCCCATGCACTTTACATTTATAGAGCATCTTGGTTTAGAAACTCCATATTTCAAGTTCTCGGCAGCTACATCTAGATGCTTGTAGCTACTCTATTGGGCAGCACAAGCTAATGGCATTGTGACAGTCTTGTCAGATTTTTAGACCTCTGTTAGGAACAAGTTCACAAATTTCTTATCCTTTCCTTGTGTTTGAAAAATCAAAGCCAGAGGACAGACATATTTTCATTAAGGCACCATTGTCAGTTTGGGAAAAAAAAAAAAGTTACACATAAAAAACAGCTGGATCTAACTTCAGTATCTTTTAAAACAGTATTTAGAACTTTTAGTTTGAAAGTTGAGAATTTCAGATAATTTCCCAATTTATATACTTTCTGACTGTGATTGTATACTGGATCCAGGTTGACTTCCTGCAACAAGCTAATAAAGAACTGGAGAAGCATATTCAAGAACTCATGGAAACCAAGGAAACGGTGACAACCGAAGTTGTGAACCTAAGTAGCAGAAATGAAAAGCTCTGCCAGGAGTTAACGGAAATCGACCAGCTAGCACAGCAGCTGGAAAGGCACAAAGAGGAAGTGCTGGAGACGGCTGACAAGGAGCTCGGGGAGGCGAAGGTGATGCTGGGTCTGCACTGTGGGAACTCATTAGCTCTGAGTGTAGTAAGCTGAGCTCAGGATCGCTCTGCTCAGCTTTTGAGTCTGCTCGGTGGGGGTGCACGTCTGCTTTTAATAATCCAAGGTTTTTTGAGTTTCTCTCATTCTTTCTTTCTTTGTTTCTTTCTTTCTTTCTTTTTTGGGGGGATGGTTTTGAGACAGGGTTTCTCTATGTAGCTTTGTAGAGCAGACTAGCCTCAAACTCATGGAGATCTGCCTGTCTCTGCCTTCAGAGTGCTGGGATTTAAGGCGTGAGCCAGCACCACCCAGCCTACTTAGTTCCTTTTTATGATCAGTGTCATATTGACCTAGAACCAAAGCATGTATGAAATGAATTTCTTTTTTTACTTCTTTGACTGTCAGGTTCAGTGTTATACTAGTCCTCCACATGGTGTTATCATTACCGTTGTTAGTAATCACTAGGTCAAAGTGGCAGGTATTTCACAGTATTTTAAAAGTAAATCTGTATTTGGAATACATCTCATTGAAATGTAATGGGAGAAAAATAAAGCCTTTAGCCAGCCCCAGCCTAGCCTAGATGATCAAAGGGCTTTTCTTCTTCTTCTTCTTCTTCTTCTTTTTTTTTTTTTTTTTTTTTTTTGGTTTTTCGAGACAGGGTTTTCTCTTATAGCTTTTGAGCCTATCCTGGCACTCGCTCTGGAGACCAGGCTGGCCTTGAACTCACAGAGATCCGCCTGACTCTGCCTCCTGAGTCCTGGGATTAAAGGCGTGTGCCACCAACACCTGGCTAGGGCTTTTCATTTTAATCTTGAAGACATGTACTTTCAAAACATGAGTGAGATTTCTTTGAAACAGTGTGCTAAAGGCAGTTGTGAAGAAGAGAGTGAGACTAGAGAACTCATACATACCTAGGCCACAAGCAGGCTCTCAGCTCATCTCCAAGGAGCACTGTAAGTAAATTAATTAGATGCCATGCTTTAAAGGCCTGTGCAGGGAGGTGAAGCTCAGTGTGTACATGTGCCCAGGTTCTGTCTCCAGCAACACAGAACAGAGCAGAGCTGGTTGAACCCATAGCTCGATAGCATCCTTGGGAACTCTTCCTAACAAGAGTACGCAGGACCCAGTGTGAAGACCACTGTTTGCATCGCTGCATTCATGTTAGGCAATGCTAACCCCAGGGTAAGTGAACCAGAAGGAAACTGTATCAACATAATACAACTATTAATAAGAAGCCCACAGCAAACATAGTCAGTGTTGGAAAACTAAAATTGTTTATTCTGGAATCAGGAACAAGTCCAGGATACTTTTATTATTTTTGCTTAGCATAATACTGAATCAGAAGGGCTGACGCATGACTAGAAATCCCAGCATTCACAGGGAGACTGTGTTCTAGGCTAGCCTGAGGTATACTGTGAAACCATATCTTAATAAAAGTAACTAAAACAGTATTGGAAGATCTTCTCAGCAAATAGATACAAAAACAAAAGAGAATAAAATAAAGGGCATACAATTTTCAAAGAAAGAGTACATATGTGATAAGACCTAGGTTGTGAAAAACCCAAAGATTTGCACATAATGAAATAGAATAAACAAGTTCAACAAAATTGCATCTTAAACACACACACATACACCAGATAAATTATGTATATTAAGAATAAAAAATCCAACAAAGAAATTAATTAATCCTACTTGCAGCTATATCAAAAAGAATGAACTTAAGCAGTGAGGTGAAAACTTTAGATAAGATAGAACACTTGTGAAAATGAAAGAATGTGTAAGTAGAAAGGCATCCTGTGTGCATTCATTAGGAGACATGTGTTGTGAAACCACACAGTCTGTGAATTCAACTCAAGTCCTGTCAGAATGGAGTCCAGTATTTGCAAAAGAGGAAAATAGTCCTAGAGTGTAAATGGACTCTGAAGAGACCCTGTATACCCAAACAGTGGAAGAAGCAGTGGATTAAGGATGCAACCAGTTTGCAGAGTGCTTACCCACATGCATGAGGCCCTGGGCTTGATCTTCAGAACTGGGGGAAAGGTGTAGGGTGTGTAGTTCATATAGTTTTATTTCTGCTTTTCTGGTTTTAGTGTATTACTACAGTCTATGTCTTCCCTCTCTTGCTCTACTCCCTTTTGTACATCCTGTGCTTTTTATATGCAATAAATTGAACGTGGCCCCGCATGGCCTGTTGACACATCCCACAGATGTTAACTCAATGCAACACAAGATTGCTGTTGGATCGCAGTATTTCAAGGGCATTTTGCTCTCTCAGTTGTAGTGTAAGAGATCCAAGTTGGTAAAAGCAGACCAAGAGCAGTGAGGAGGATGGTTAGGAAATGACCACCATCATTTCCCAAAGCTGAGGCCTAAGAAGGGAGAGTTGAAGTGGTTCTCTATTTGATAAGTGAGTCACACAGGCGTTCAGGGCACCACAGTATTAAACAGAACCTCATCTCAGCTTCACTCTCTCTTCACTGAAGCCGAGCATTAGACTAGAGTCTCAGACCTTACTGATAGACAGAGTGCAAATCAGCTGGTCTTCTTCCTTATGCCATAGTAATGTACAGTCTTAGGGTCCTAGATGCTCACCTAACAAGCTTTTTATTCCTAGAAAGAGATTCAAAGAAACCTCTGTGAAATGCGGAACCTTGAGGAAAAAATGTCAAAACTTCAACTGGTAAGTTGATGTCACACTGTTGTCAATGTTTCCAGATTGGGACTGATGCCTAATTGTGTAAATTAGTCTATTGGCAAACAATGTGTATGGATAATATTCAGGCTTTTTAATGAGCTGTGTGGTTTTAGCACAGCCATGGAATTGTTCACCCATCACTGCTAATCCCTAACATCATCACCCTGGAAAGAAACCATACACCCACCAGCAGTCACCCATTACCTTCTGCTTAGCCCTGGATAGCCACTCGCCTACCTTCGGGTTCTAGAGTTCTCTTTCTGACTATTTTGTATAAATGCATCATGTATTGTGTGACCTTTTGCATCAGGCTTCTTTTACTTGGTGTTTGTTTGTTTGTTTGTTTGTTTTTTAAGGTTTGTGAGGTCATAGCATGAATGGGAACTCCATTCCTTTCAATAGCTGAGTGGTAAATATTCCACAGTATGATTATACAATTTCATAGTTTTATCATTCTCTAATCTTTCCTAGCATAGGTTTATAGCTAACATGGAAAATATGAGACCCTGGTAGTAATTCTGTATTCCTCTAACTGCTTTATGGCTTGGCAGTTTACTAATAATAGACAAAAAAGTTGTATTTATTTGTTGTTATTAAAAGTACTCATTCTTTTAATTGTTTTGTGTAACTCAAGCTGTTTTCCTAGTCATCATGCATGTCCCTATAGAATTGGTGACAAAGACAGGCTTCATCCCAAGAGACCCCTCAAGAGACAGGGACTTAGTGTAAAATTAGGAGAATGCCTTACAGGCTAAAACTATCAGTCACTCAGAGGTGGAGGCCTCTCTTCCTTGTGATAGCCTATGTTGGAAGGATTTCCTGTAAGGTTAGAAGCAGAGACCAACAGTAACTTGCATCTCTTCATTATATATTATGTCTACACTGCTGTATCCTGGTGACATGCTGTTTCTATGGTATAGTAGACTGTATTCACTATGTGTGGATTTTTGTACACATAGTATCAACAGCCCATGATAGTGGCTTCATGATTGACAGACTTTCAAGGAGAAAAGGTCATTTGGACTCACTGGCTGCATTTTAAATAACAGCAAGATTTGTAAAAGATGACTATTATAAACAAGAAATTTCACCCTATGCATCTTTGAAGCAGTGTGCTAAAGGCATTTTGAGGGGGAGAGTGAGCATAGAGAACTCACACATACACATGTGTGCAAGAGGCTTTACTGCTGTTCACTATTTTCTGCACACTGACAGTGCTGGGGATGGTTGACAATGCTTGTCTCAGATCTATGATAATTGATAGCTAATGTTCACTGTGCACTTGCCACAGCAGAAACAGTGACTATGTCACTGGGTCTGTACTGTTGTGATCTTTAAACATAGGCATTGATAAATTGTGTTGTACACATACATATTCATTTAGAGAAGTAGGACAATATACCAAACAAATGAGTAGCAAATAAAATGAAAGGGTTCTGCCTTCCACAAAAGAGCAGTGTTAGCATTTATCATTTTGGGTTTCATGATATGTTTGGTTTATGTGTGGTTTTTTTGTTTGTTTGTTTGTTTTTTTGGGGTTTTTTTTTGCTTTCCTTTTGCTAATTTTTTTACATGTAATATATTTTGATATTTTTCTCCCCTAGCTCCTCCCACACCCTCCCTCCCTCCCTACCCATCTTTCATATCTCTCTCTCTTTCTCACTCTGTCTCTCCCTCTTTCTATCCCTCTCTCCAAAACAAAACAAAAGCAAATGTCAAAACAAAAGAAAACCCAGTAAGACAAAAAAATACCAAAACAAAGCAAAAAGTGCACACAAAAAACATGGAGTCTGTTTTGTCTGGCCAACTGGGCATGGGGCCTGCCCTGTAGTGTGGTTGATATACAAAGAAGCACTTCATTGGAGAATACTGATTTTCCCTTTCCCAATAGGTATCAATTGCAGATAGCTTCTTGATTAGGGGTAGGAGACTGTGTCCATTTTCCCTTCTCTGCTGGGACCACATCTGGCCATGAACCTGAGCTGACCTGTGTATGATGCTAGTCTCTGTGAGTTCATTTGTGCATCAGTCCTGTTGTCTTGAAGACACTGTCTCCTTATAGTCATCTACCATCTCTGGCTCTTACAGTCTTTCTGGATACTCTTCCACATAGAACCCTGATCCTTGAGGGGAGGGTTTGATGAAGACATGCCATTTAGAACTGACTGCACTAAAGTCTCTCACTCTTTGCACATTGCTCAATTATGGGTCTCAGTGTTAGTTCCCATCTACTACGAGAAGAAACATCTCTGATGAGAGTTAAATGTGGCAATGATCAGAGTCCCAGCCCATTGTGTAAACTGTGAGTCCTTGGTAGAGGGCTTAAAAGAATGTGCATGTGCACACATACACACACACACACACACACACACACACACACACACACACACACACACGAATTGCTATTATATGTCTGTATATATACATATGCTTATAAAAGTATTCATTTCATCTATAAGCATTATAAATGTTTAATAAAGTTATTAGAATACTTAATTATAGAATTACCATTTTTAGGAATTAGACTTATGCCATAAGGAAAAGGAGAGACTGAATGGCGAGCTCCTTCTAAAATCAGACCTGGAAACTGTTGTTCATCAGCTTGAAGAAGAAAAGTACAGACTTAGCAAAAAGTTGGAAAGCTTTGTAGTCACAGGTAAGATGCTAAGATGCCAAATGTAAGTTTAAAAATGATTTGCTCTCTCTATGGTATTGCTATTAGTAGTCATGCATTCATTTAATAACCATGTGGTGAGCACTTGCTGTGAACCAGAAATGATGCTAGACAGTGTGGGCATGGTAGGAACCCCTCCCTGTGTTATGACTGGTTGCCACAGGAGAGGCTTCTGGAATGTTTACAATGGAAGTGTTTGCTTCTTTGAGGTAGCCTGAGAAGACCATTCTGAAATGGCAGACATTAAGTACAGAGTCTTTAAGGGAATGCCATTATATTCCCTTAAAATCCGTGCTTGTGTCTGTTTGATCACCCCCTACTCCGAGCTCCTCACTCTATTCCAGGCAGCTTCTGTCCCCACCTTACCAGCAGAACTGCCCTTCAACGTGTCTGGACAGGACACTGAATGCAGCCGGTGCTCTTCTCTTGTTAGCTTGTTTCTTTTTTAACATTTACTGCAGCTGCTCATTCCTTCTTGCTTTCCCATTTTTCTGACCTCTCTAGTCATTCCTTCTTGGGATGAAATGGCCAGTTTATAACTTTTCTAATTTTATGGATTAGCCAGTTGCATCTAGTAAATTGTGCATCTGCTGAGTGAATGAAGGGGAAGATGGCAGCATCAAATCCATCATGAAAATGACTCTTACATCACTGTCCTGAATGTCAGTTCCACAGGCTAAACTCTGTGAAGTTGTTAGTATTTGCTTTGTTTTCCCTCAAGAAAAAGTAACCGTTATAATCAAAACTAATCATTGTGAGCTGGGTTGTTTATAGTGGTATATTCCTACAATCCCAGGCACTTAACACACACAAGGCCCTTAACAGCAGAAAACTAGTATTTGTGCTTATTGGAAGAAAACAATGAGTTGTTTTAGTTTCTTTGTGCATGTATTAAATTCAAGTTCAGTGAAGTATACACCTGCAGGGTTGCTTACAAGTGCTTTTCTCTCAGTGCTCTTTTAGGTCTCTAGGAAGCCTCACTTGGAAATGCATTGCTTTCTTTTATGGTACCAAATAGTATCCAGCAGTGATGACATCAACAGGGAGTGACCACTTGTTGATCATTTCTCATTCTTGATATTTACCTGATTTGTCTGATCCTTGTGGTTGATACATAGAGCAGCTCTGGATTGTTGGTAGTTTCCATTCTGTAAATTATTTATTTACTTGACTAATCCACATTCTATATGCAATGTTATCTTAACCACTTTAATTTGCAGAAAGAGAACTGACTTTGGAAGTTGAGAGGATGAGGCTAGAACATGGGATAAAACGCCGAGATAAGTTGCCCTCCCGTTTAGACACATTCCTGAGAGGCATAGAAGAGGAGCGAGACTATTACAAGAAAGAGCTGGAGAAACTCCAGCATGCCATCCAGCGAAGAACTTGTGTTTACATGAATTACTATGCCCGGGAGAAAACCTCAACATATAAAGGCTCAGAAAAGGTAATACTGTTCCTAAGAGTAATCAAAAGGGTTCGCGTGTGTGTGTGTGTGTGTGTGTGTGTGTGTGTGTGTTTGTGTGTGTGTGTCTGTGATAAACACTGTGGCTTTATTGCTGTATTTTAAATGCAACATCATTTATACATGCTTTAAGAAGTCCTAATCTTGATTTTTGTTTTTTCTGTAACTTGCAATGTGGGAAACCCTGCATTATTAGGAAAACTACCCAACAATAAAGGACACCATTTTGATTCCTGTATATTTAGTCTGAATAGCTGAGTCATGTGAGAGGCCTGTCGGCTTTCAGAAACCAGACCACAGAGACTCACAATACTGTACATTTCCGCTCTTTCTAGGATTTATGTTCTGTAACAGCTGCACTTTCCCTCTGCTAACAGAGTAGCTCTGTCCTCATAGCATACAGCAAGCCTTTATGTCATTCCCAGCTTTGTTGGTCGAGTTAGGGGCATCATCACTTTCAATGACTGTTTCACAGTACCAGTAATAAGCTGCAGGCATGGTGGGTGACTGTGTAAGCACACGAGTAAAATGAGTATATAAGAGACAGTTGTGAACATGGGGACCTGGGGAGTGCATATCACACATCAAAGTCAGTATTTTGAGCATGTGTAGAAGCACTTTGTTAGCAGACAACAAAAAGCTCTCTCAATCTGGACTTGGTACTGCCTATGGCTGTCAGCTTCCTGCTTTATGGTCAACTGGTAAGCATAGTTTATTGCAATTACAATAAATCAGGAAAAATATAGGCATGTTTAGTATCAGTGATCTTCATTATCCCATTATCTTCATCATCCCAACCTCATTGAGCTGCCCTTGTCTTTGGTGGGAGCATTTGAGGACATCACGAGAGTTTGGAATTGGAAGCCTGATGCCAGTTCCAGCTTCTTGCAGCACCTTATGATAAACCTTAGAGAAACTGACCTCATTCAGCCCTGATTTGTCACTTGCAGACCCAGAAAAGAAACCTTATAAAGATTGAATGAGATCATTGACATAAGGGCCCTCTAGCAGAGTGTCTAGTTCCCAACTAGGGAGCAATTTGTTTCTTTATTGCTTGCTGGGGTAAAGCAGCTCTGATCTGTGTGATTAAGTTCAGTAGATATATACTGTCTTCTATGAATGAAGTATGTACTGTAGAGATAATGTTGATAGTTCCAGCTCAAGCAGACAAGTCAGGTATCATACCAGGTACTGAACACAAAACAACAGGAACTGGAGCCCTCTGTGACTCTCACAGAAATTCAGTCTAGTAAAAGTACTCGAGGGGTATATCTACCATTGAGCTACATCCCTGACTGCTAAATAACTTTAAGATCTCATTTATTTTAAGTATTAATGAAGACTGTACAGGAACAACTCACAACACAGAGTTTTACATACATCTCAACTATATGGAAAATCTGGAAGGATTCCTTGTAGAAAGTGACATTTAAGCTGACGTATAGACACTAATGAAAACAATTATGGATCTTTATTCATTGCACTCCTTTTCCAGGGCCTATGCAGACTACATTCTGTAAGATGTTAGGTCACAGGCTTTCCTCTTATGGTTTTCTGCTCTTGTGTAAAACCTCTTCCCCTTTAATGTGTCCGTGATGCCCTGTCATGTCCATCATGCTTTAATTGTGCTTGTTTAACAAAAGGATAGCTCATTCCTATGTGGAAGCTACCTCACACATTTCTACCATTTACCAAGTCTTCACTGGGATTGTATGTGTTCAGTAGATATCAAATAACATAAGCCAAGACTCTTTCCAGTTGTATTACTTTACTTTTGCTGTGGCAAAACACCATGACCAAGGCAACTTATAAAAGAGCACTTAATTAGGCTTATGGTTTCAGAGGGATTGAATTCATGAAAGCAAAGCAAAGGAGTGGCAGAAACAGTTGAGAGTTAACTTTTGGATCTACACATAGGAAACAGAGAGCACACTGGGAAAGGGAGTCTTTTGAAACTTCAAAGCCTGTCCCCAGTGATACTTCCTCCAACAAGACCACACCTCCCAATCCTTCCCAAACTGTTCCAGCAACATAGTACTAAATATTCAAACATATGAGCCTCTAGGGGCCATTCTCATTTAAACTGCCACTCTAATATAGCAGTTTATCAGGATTTCTGTGTTTAGGTCATTGACATTAATATACTATAAATTAGCCATTCTTGTTTTCATGGCAGTGATGACTGGATCTTTTGAATTATACTATTATAGTAGATATATTCTTAGAAATGTTGGGAATCAGTGGAATGTTGGAAGAAATTTTGCTTAGTCAGTAAAAATCCCAATACATAATGCTTGGTAGCAATATTTATGCTTGTACCATTGCACAGATAGACCTCACATGGGTATGAAGCCGGCGCTGTTGTACCTGAGACGCCAACCTTAATGGTCAGTCATAGAAAACAGGTACCCAGTACCTTCCTGGGCTCTTCCTTGGCAGAGAGTTATAAAGTGATGACTCTGAAAACTTACCATGCATCTGAATGACCTAGCAGACTTGACAAAATGTCCTATACCCTTCTCCCAAAGGTACCAGCATGGACCCTCAGCTTCATATGTGTACAACAAGCTTCTAGGGCTGCTGCTCTCCCGGGCTGGAGGTTAGAGTTTAGGCACTACTAATGTGTAATGGGAGCAGCTAAGGAGAGCAACTGTGGAAGCGTCTAATGAGATCTGCACAGGTGGTATTACTGGCAGCCGTGTACCTTCCTGAGAACCCAAAGCCAGGGAATTTGTACCATTACTGCCAGGGCTTTTATCTACTCTCACGAAATTTATTCTTTAATTACATTAAAAGAGCTTCTGTTCTGTCTGAACCTGGTTCAGCCAGCCTCGTCACCAGGGTTTCTGTGACAACCACACAGTTGTAATTATAACAAATGATAATATGTATCTTTCTAATTGTTTCAGGGTGATCACAATTCAGACATTCATCTGATCACAAGAGAAAGAGATGAACTTCAGTACATGCTAGAAAGATTTGAAAAGTACATGGAGGATATACAGTCCAATGTGAAACTGCTCACATCAGAAAGGGATAAACTAAGTGTCTTGTATAACGAAGTAAGCTATTGGTCCCAACTCATCCAACTGGTCATTTAGAATCAGTTTGCTCTAACAGAACCACTTTGTGTCCTGCATGTTTCCCTAACACATGGGACTCAGGATTTTCCTTCCCAAGTAAGATGATAAGTAGTAGTAGTTTTTACTGTCATCTTCAAAACAGATATTTCTCTTCTTTTTGTTTATTTGTTCCCCCTCTTTTCTAGCTTATCAGTGTACCAGGTCAGTTAGAGATTATCTCTTTGTTCTAAAACTAACTGAACCGACCTTAACTGTCAAAATTTTCCTCAGCTTTAGACATGCTGTCATGTATTTGAATCCCAGGGACAAACTGGATATGCAGTCACTGTTTGAAATATTGGCTCTTGGCCTCTCTGTGTAGATGGAAATTTCTGTCCCACCCCGTCCCATAGCCATTTAGTCCTAAATAAACACACAGAGGCGTATAGTAATTATAAACTCTTTGGCCTATTGCTCAGGCTTATTATTATGTAGCTCTTACAACTTAGATTTACCCATAATTCTTATATATATTTAGCCACATGGCTTGGTACCTCTTCTCAGTAAGGAATTCTCATCTTGCATCCTCTGTGTCTGGCTGGCGACTGTGTCTTTGCCTTTCCTCTTCCCAGATTTCTCCTAGTCTGGTAGCTCCGCCTGTGCTTCCTGCCTGGCTACTGGCCAAATCACCATTTTATGAAACCAATATGAGTGACAAATCTTTACAGTGAAGAAGAGCACTATTTCACATCATCTGTGTCTGAGGAGATGACTTAGTTGTTAGAGTGCCTGCCACTCAAGCATGAGGACCTGAGATCAGATCCCCAACACGTGAAAGCGGGCTTGGTGGCTCTCATCTATAATCTTAGAACTTGAGGGGCCAAGACAGGTGGGTTTCTAGGTGCCTTTTAGCCCAGGCTAGCCAGTCCATGTGAGCCGGTGGTGCATGCACGCTCCGAGGTTAGCTCCTGGGAAAATCTGCTCTGGAGAGGCTAGCACTGCCACGGCTTGGCCCATTGCAGAGCCTGAGCTTGCAGAGGGTGAAATGACTGAACAAATTCTGGAGTCTGGTTTATTCACACCTATCTCTCATGAAGTTCCTTACTATTATAATGGGAGGGATAGACATGTAAGTTAAAAGAGACACTTTGACTTCGGTGAGCTTTTCTAGGACTTGTCAGTGCATTGATTAAAGGGATCCATCCTCTTCTGGAGTTGCCCCACAGTAGACTTAGCCCTCAGCTTTCTTGAGTTACCTATGTCATTCTTCTCTGCCGTCTGCTTCTAGTGTCCAATGTCTTGTGGCTGCAGCTTCTCTCTGTCTTCTTGCCTTTGGGACTTTAGTGTTTCATTTTAATCCTTTTAATCTTATTGGGTTTTGGAAAGAAAGGGAAAGTAGCATGTATTTCATATATCCCTGCCCCATGCCCTTATTAAAATAATGGATGATATCCAGAGTACTTTTCTATCTTTTAATGCATCAAGGCGAAGGAGGAGCTATCCACACTGAGACAAGAACCCACTAATGGGACAGTTACCAACAGTTTTGTTAATTGTATTGAAAAGGAGAAAGAACGTGCATTATCTGACTTAAGAAGAATTACAGCAGAAAAGGAAGCTCTGAGAGAAAAGTTGAAAGTAAGTAATTCAATTTACATCTTTTTGAAAGGTAATTTATTAAGTATTTGGGAAGAAAATGAAAGTAGAACACATTGACTGTGCCCCTCCCCCACGGCCTGCCTTTGTAACTTCACTTTCCTGTGAAGTTACTATTGGGAGTATACATCACATCTAGGTGGAGCTAGCATAGCAGCATGCCAGCCCAAACTCAGCCACCTTGTTTGTGTATGGCCATAGCTAAGAATATTCCAGCATGGATGTGTTGTCCATCGCTGCTTTCATACCATGGTGGCAGAGTTGGGAAGTCATAGCAGACATTTGGCCCCCAAATCCTAAAACATTCGCTTTCCGTCTTTACAGAAGCATTGAGCCACACCCTGAACTCAGGATTGTTGTAGGTCAATAGTGGTGTTCTTTTCTTCTTTACCTAATGACAATGGTTATTTTTCACCAGCAGACAATTTACCAATTTAATGAAAGGGACAGTTGAGTGGCGCTTGCTATCCTTTTTCTCCCTGTCTCTCTTTTATAACTTGCACCATAATTAATCTTAGAAAAACTCATTACCGTAGACCAGAACCTTGTATCCATTATAAAAGCTTCAGCTTGCCCCAGGCCTCCTCAGCTGTAGGCACTACTGATTCACTTTCTGCCTCTCTGCCTTTGCCTTCTCTGGACATTGCATTTGAACTAAACATATGAATTAAATGTGATTTTTTTTTTCATTTTGTGGTGTTGGTCATTGAACCTAGGGTCTAGCATATACAGACAGTCGATCAGCCCCTGAGCTCCACCCTCAATCCACATGTGTGTTTTAATATTTGATGTTTCCCATCTTGATATCCTTAAGGTTCACCCATGAGTGATGCTTGTACGAGTGTTTGTGTGAAGTTTTTATTTCTCTTGGGTAGATTATTATTCTTAGAATTGCTCCCAACTAAGTGTGTTAATATATACAAAGCATTATCTCATAGTACGTCCACACAGTAAGTTCTGAGTGTTCTTATTGGGGAAGCCATGGTTACTTCCAGTTAATACTATGAAATAAATGCTTTGAAGCTAACCACTAAAATTAGGAACAAAATATAAACACTTTATGCATAGTCTTTATGCTACAAACTTTCAGTTAAAGTTTTACACCCAAAGGCAGTGTAAGAATGTTTTTAATTGGAGTCTTTTGGAATGCTGCCTTCTAGAAATTAGAAAAAAAAATCAGTTAAAATTACCAGAGAGAAAAATTATGTGCAATATGGCATCGTTAGCACAGCCACTCACTTACCCTTTTCCTTATCTGTTGTAATGACCAGAAATGTAAAACTAGACTTTTTAAAAACCATATTAGTACTAGCAGCCCAGAAAGACTGCATTCAGATTAGCAAAACCCTTCTGGGTTGTAGGAGGCAGGCTTTTATGAATTTCCAGGAAACCTTTCCTTTAAAATCAGCACTACCCATCTGACTCCTCCAGACTTTTGCAGTGTTACCCGTCCGTCTGTCTTCTGGCCGCCCTGCTTTCCAGCATCCGTTATGACTAAGCTCTCCCTGAAAGCTCGAGTGACAGCTGTCAGCCAAGGCCATCAGTGCTGCCTCCTGAACAACTAAGCCTTTCTCCCAGGAGGGCTCTGTTTCAAGTGCTTTTATACATGAGCTATCACAGTGGATCTTCACAAAGCCTTTTCTGGTTGTTTCGTTGACAGATAGAGCCCTGAATGATAATAAACTTAAGTGCCTTGTCCAGCCTCACCCATCTGTGTTGACAGTCTCCTTGTGTCCTTCCGACTGTGCACTCCTTGTGGTTATTCTCTCACGTGGGTTATTATAGTGGGGCCCTTTGTGCTCTCTGATACGTGTTTAACAATGATTTTAGACTCATCTTTCAAAGATGTAACTCTGGTCATGCTACTTCTAGTAAAGTTCATTACCTGTTACAAGACCACTAGCGATCACCCTGGCCTGTTTTAAGCCCTGTCATCTTTTCTCCAACACTCATTTTTTGCTCTTTCATACTCCTTTTTTTCAAGGCTCCTGGCTTAAGGCACCTCTTCACATGGTCTTCTCTATGTTTACTTATCCTTTAACTACAGGTAAAACACCAGACAGTGAGCACCAGGCTCTAGATCCATTTTGACATATGAAAATAAAGCTCCTAGCCTAGAAACAAATTTATTTATTTATATTCATTTTCCTTTATGCTTGAGAATTTCATGCGTGTATAACAATGAAATATGATCATACATATTCTTCTTAACCCCTCCCAACTCCCCCTCATGTTTTAATTTCCTCCTTTCTTTTTTTTTTTTTTTTTAAATACCCACTATATGTGCATGGTTTGGGGCATAGGAATCCTATCAGTGATTACAAAAAAAATGATTCTCCCTCCTCAAACTGTCAACTACCAGTAGCTCCTCAGTAAAGATTGCAGCCTGGAGACCACATACCCCATTTATGCAATAGTATTGGGTGGCTTGATTTTCTCTATGCCTTGTGCACATAGTCCTGGCAGCTGCGAGTGCATGGGTGTGATGGCCGTGCCATACCCAGAAGACAGCCTTTCACAGCACCCTTCCCATATTCCAGCTCTCGAGTCCTTCCTTCCTCCCCTTCTATGATGTTCCCTTATCCTCTGCTGGGGGGCAGGGAGTTGATATAAATGTCCAGGGTAAGTCTCTTATTCTCTGCACTTAGGCAGTTCTGCATCTCTCCATTGACTGTAGCCCACTGCAAAGAAGAGCCTCTCTGACCAAGGTCAAGAGAGCAGCCCCGCTGGGTAGGTATGAACATACGTATTTGGAGGCACTTTGACAGCATGGTCATTTAGAACATTAGAACAATAGTGGGTTCTACCCTGCAGACCATGATCTCAGTAGCATTGGGCCTTTGATCAGGCTTACCACATCAGACATGCAACTTCCATCTGTGGGGCAGGCCTGGAGTCTAATGAGAAAAGAGTCACCTGTAACATGTCACTGTTGTATCAGTGGCACATCTTACCTGGCAGGTGAGTGTTGTAGAATGCAAGATCCAGGGCTGGGTGTGACTCTTACTGTCACCCTTCCTTCAGCAGTCTGCATAGCACTTCTAGGACCATTTATTTATTTTGAGACAAGGTCTCGTGTATCTTAGGCTGACTTAAACCTGAGGATCACCTTTGAACTCTTGGCTTCCTGCCTTCATGGCTTTATTTTAGTTTCTCGTATTAGGTCGGTCTTTTTTATGAAGCTATATGTAATCTATGTAATCTACTCATGGCTGCGCCCTAACACCTTGCTTGGTGCTTGGTAAAGAACATATATCAGCACTGTTTAAGTGAGTTGATAAACACAGCAGTGATTCCTTTAACTAGATATACAATCCAAGTATCAAATACAGCTTTCTAATGAATATCATGAATATGAGTATATTCATATACTCATATATTCATATACTCATATAAGCTCATATACAACACGCAGCTTTCTAATGAATATCATGAATATGAGTATATTCATATACTCATATAAGCTCATATACAACACAGAGAAAAACTCTGTGCTGGGTGTTGGTGGCGCACGCCTTTAATCCCAGCACTCAGGAGGCAGAGGCAGGCAGATCTCTGGAGGCCAGCCCGGTCTTCAGAGCGAGTGCCAGGATAGGCTCCAAAGCTACACAGAGAAACCCTGTCTCGGAAAAAAAAAAAAAAAAGAAAAGCTCCGTGACCATTACGTTATGTGTCCTTGACTTGGCAGCGGTTGGTACTTGTGTGATATAACCAGAAAATGAGCCTTCTTCTATATCCTGACCAGCCAGTTCTTAGAACTGGTCTTGTTGCATTCTGTTGCCTATGCCTTCCTGATTGTATATTTTCTTCTTTGTATCCTGTTTTTCTTACATCTGAGTTCTAGCTCAGCAGTAGAGCTCTAACCTAATGTGAGGAGTTAGCAACACTGTAAGAAATAAATGGGGGGGGGGAGTTGCGTACATCTCTTCTTATGAGGGCTCATTCCTGCCCATGTGACTTAGTGTGCTGTTCTCAGTACATTTGTGTTAACAAGTATCCATCCACCTAAGTCTTTTTAAATGAATCCACTCCTTTTTCTTTTCTGTGTGACACATGAAGGTCAGAAATGAAACTTCTAACAGAAAGAATGCTTTTATAAAATGTCTGACCTTTCTAGAACATTCATAGATTCTATGAAATAGGATACATAGCTCTGCAAACTGGCATTACTTAATTTTGTGATTATTTGACACAAATGAACATTTTCTATAAAATTCTTTTTCAGAATATCCAAGAAATGAATGTTTTGGAGAACTCAGAATTAGAGAAAACTATTGAACATTTGACATTTATGAATCACCAGGTAATTTATCAAAGGATTGGGGCATAGTATATAAATCAGATGAATGACTGTGCCAGTGACAATTTTACTACACTGTATGTTTTTTGAAAACTAATATGCAGCAAGGAGGAGTGTGCTCTAAGACTAATTACTTGGTTCAAATCTGGCTCTTGTCTGAACCATTTTCTTGGTTCTTCTGTCTTCTAGTGGTTTTCATTTATGACATAGGACTAGTAATTCTTTCTCAGGCTTTCTGTGAAAATGTAATGGATGACCAACACACATGCCACACTTAAGAGTCCTCAAATATTACAGGCATCGGTAGTGGCTAACTGTGATTATTGTGGTTTGGTGTTATAAATGTAATTATAGGATATAGACTAAAAAGTGAAGCTCACTGTTAATTTTCTTTATAATTAGCCCTCAGTACCTGCAGAATATTGCTTCTAGGACTTCCTTGGATACCTAAGTCGGAAGAATCTCAAGTTTTTTTGTTTGTTTTTTGTTTTTTTTTTAATAAAATGCCATAATATTGCATATAACCTATATATCCTCCCATATTCATTTAGATTGTTTACAGTACTTCAACTATATAATGTCTTATACATTTTAAATGTTGTATAAACAGTTGTTATGCTGTGTTGTTCAGGAAATAGTGATAGGAAAATATTTATATGTTGAGTATAGATACAACCATTCTATACTAACTAGATAATATACATTCTACAGTTGGCTACTCTGAAATTACAGAATTTATATGGAAACAAAGAGCCAAAAGCCACATAGAAGTTTAAGGAACATTGATACTGGGTTTTTAGGGCCATTATAATTAAAGATAAGGACTAATCCGTATTAGTACTTACCTAATTAAACCAAATATAACAAACCCACATAAAGGAACCTAACATTCAGAAACCCAGACCAGGGAGTAAAGAGTGATTATCGAATGAATGGCTACATATATTAAGATACAAAGAATAAGAAATTGGCTCCTGCCTGAAATAGACCATATGCAGAAATCATTTTAAGATTACTTACAGCTAGCTAGTCAAGGCTGAAGCATGAGGTTCACACAGTGTCTGCTGCCAATTTGAGCAGTAGCCAGGCCTACTTGGACCATGGCTGCAACAGCTACTGAGAAACAGAGAATCACCCTGTCCCTTCCTCAAAGCCTAGTCTTTCACGGGTTTATACTTGTGTACCAGAGGTGACCATGGGCCAAGCTCTCAGGACTTCTTACCCTATTACAAAGTCTGTGACATATTTTTAATGTGGCTACTTTCTTTAGCAGCCATCTTTTAGTGAAGATACTGACCACCTCATCTGCTGTGTATCTGTATTGTCTGTATCTGTTACCATGCTTCACTGGAGTGGTGGTGACAGATGATAGGTCCCACAAAGCCTAAAGTATTTACTTGAACGAATATGTGATTGTAAGTCAATACAGTAGAGTGCTACTGAACAGAAGTATGATGAAAGTTACAAACATCAACTTGTATGACTGATACAAATGCATGTTTCGGGAGAAAGCATGTAGTCTGAGTCTACTCATGTACAGTTCAGAAACAAGGAAAACTAAGCTTAGGAAAGAATGCCACTGTGATTCATTGACGAAAAGCAAGATGCTTGGTGCATGCCTGCAGATTGAGCATGTGGGAGGCTGAGACAGGGGGATCATTTGAGTGTAGGAGTTCAAGGACAGCCTGTGGATCCCATCTGAAAAACAAAACAAAAAGGAAGAAGATTCAGGATTGTAGGTTTGTGTGGCAGAAAAAGGATATTACTAAGGCCTGCACATGGAGGGTCAGATAATATTTTTTTTAATTTATTTATTAGTTCTAGTTAGGAAACAAACTTGTTTCACATGTAAGTCCCTTCTCCCTCTCCCTCCCCTCACCCCCATCCCTCTTCCCCCACCCCCAGCCTACCCCCTACA